TCGTTTATTATTCATTTGAATTAATAACGACGAACTCATTACTTTTGCGATATTTCCACCCATCCTCGAGACGCGCAAAGTCGCGCTCGCCGCGCTATTGTAACCGCGGATAAAATCTGTGCTAAATAAAGTCGCTTATATTAGCGATCCGTTCTGGTAGCGCCGTAGACACGGTGTGAACGAACTGCGCGTTTTCTCGATCTTACACACGAACGTCACAAACGCCGACCGTCCGTCATCGTTTGTCGGTATTGAAATCGCGGCGGATTCAATACGAACAACTGTAACCGCCGTGGACGCTATTACGTTAAAATACGTAATAAAAACTCGCGTTTTATTTATCTAAAACACGTGTGTTCGGCGGGCACTGACGTGACGGGACGATGATAAATGTCGTCAGAGAAAGACCGCGCGCTATAATTGTTAATTGTTTTCCGTTGATTTCGACGAACCCAACCCAGACGACAGGCGAACGCGCCCGGCCCCGGACGGTGACTGCGCGACCGCGGACGGCACCCCGGGCGCAATGCGTTCGCACAGCATTGACGTGTCCGCCCGTCCCGACCGTGTTAATATCATCTCCGAAGACCGCGGCCGCGACGCGCACGGTACGCGGGACGAATCCAATAACCGCGCGTCCCGCCGTCCGTTTTATACGATTTCCGTGGCGCGACCGCCGGTAATTCTATCTGCGGGGGGATCTCGAACAGTGTAACACCGCGAGTATTGTGCGCGCCGACAGGGAATTTGCGAAAACTGAAAACGAATCGGCGGCGGCGGCGGCGCTACCCGCGGCGGTCGGGCGGTAAGTTATCTCGCGCGTTTCCGTTTCGCCGAACGTGTCTCGTCGCCTTGATGGACGGCCGGCGGACTCCCGACGGGATTTCCCGCGGAGAACCGATAGCGCCGCAGAGTGCTGTTAGCTATCGCCGTGTCGTCGTACATCGTCGGCGGTGGTGTTATGACACCCGGTGGTGACCTTTTTCCTAAACACAAATAATCGTTATACCGTTATTTTATCGGAATTCGAACGATTCGTCGTCGGCTACACAACAAAATATATCCTCCAGAAGTGGTCGGTTTTCAGAATTTTTTTTTTTTTTTTTGGTATATATAACGGACATGATTATTAGCAATACTTCGAGGTGTTTCATTAGATAATACACACAAACACACACACAAACGTATCGGTATTATCAATATAACAAAACCTCGTCGCAAGTGAACTGTTAGCAAAAGCGGTTATGACACGAATTCCGTTAGTTTTCGTTATTCTAAAGAACTGTAAAATATAATATTTATAATGCTATGTTAAATTACCCAAAAATTATGAAAGAAAAACAAACTGACGAAATTGTACATTTTAGATTCTGAGAGGAGCGAAGAAGCTTATAGTTTAACAATGATGCTATTATTATAATTTTTTTTTTTTCAAAAGAGTTTTCTCATCAAACACGAAGAACTGAACAAAATGGGAACATGTAAATGAAATATATTACTAAAATATTAATATTTTTTTTTTCCTGCGCAAAACTTTTCCACCAGCAATTTGGCTTCAACCTATAATAATAGCAATGTTTGTAAAAAGAAATTTCATTAGGAAGGGACTTTAGAGAAGTCATTATTCGATTTTCTCAGGAGTTTTCTCATCAAATTCGAAAAATCGAGAAAAACCGAGAAGAACACAGGAAAAACAGGAAAAACTTAGGAAAACTAGAAAAATCCGTATAACATTAAACAAATATTATCAAAGAAAATAAATAAATACTTTTAAATTATTTTACTACAAAATGGCATGCATTGTTGACAAACAATTTTTATCAACTAAACTCCGCTCAGAATGGTTTTTTCGTAAGCAATGGTTTATCGTTAATTTTTTGGTATATACGTATACACCAAATTATCTATAACATTGGCGGCACTCGTCCCCATTATCCTAGGACGCCTATTTTTATTTTGAACACATGTACATAGCCGATTTAAGAACGACGATGAAGTCAGAATTGAACGGACTAAGTTTCGAAATTATAGTTTTTTGAAGTTCTGATATTATGCGTATATTATATTTTATGTTAAATAAATCTATATTGTCTTATTTAAACTATGGTTAGCGTATTCTAATGGTTATAGGTACCTAATAGGTACTGCCTTTTACCATCCTAGAGTCATCGCGAGTTCACACCAGGGTTTTGAAAAAAATTGTTTGCATTTATTCCTCCCTTTTACCAAAACAAGGAAAAAACAAATGTATTTTAGGTGTACCTATAGAGATCTAGCTACCGTTCTATCGCTATACTGGTCGGATTTGGTCAATAATATCTATTAAAGGTGAAATACCACCATTAAAATCTTTTGTGAAGGTGTGAATGTTGAGAGATTTATTAGTGAAACTGTCTAATAAGTATGTGAATTGAGGGTATGCGATAGGTAAAGGGACGTTGGGCAGTGTTGGCTTTAGGAGGAGCAATGGGGCCATGCCCGCCATCCAACTTACAAACAATTTTTTGTTTAAAAAAAAAAATATAAATATATTCTATATACTATATAATTATAAACTAAGCTTTTATTATTACAGTATATTATATTATATCAGTTTACTCGATATCGTCTAATAATCTAATTTAATATTCTCGTTACTTATCTTTATTTTATTCTCCATATTTTATAATTTTAAAAATATTATTATGTTTATTATTTATGTTTCTTTTATAGATAATGATAAAAATGCTAAACCAGTATTTTTTAACAGTATTTGGCCTTCAAGGCAACAAACTGTCGAAAAGCCAACAGTCATTCCTACTATGTTTTGAAGTGTCTACGCTAGTATTATTGATACAGGTTGTAATTCTCGGCAAAGTTTACAAGCACCAGAAGATCAATTATACCCTTGGGATATGTCGATATGTGTTACATAAAAAGTCTTTCGTTTTTCAGTAGCATGACAAAAAATAAATCGTTGAATATTTTTGTTCAGAATAAAATACTTTAAAATATGTTTTCTTAAACTTTTAGACATTGCCTGGATGATGAAGGTTTGTGAATGATGGACATATATTACTGTTTCTCAGAGATTCTGTGACAACTGACCACATCAACCCTACTGGTAGAATTTCGAGAAATAGTGTTATAGCTCGTTATTTAGCTTCAAAAAAGTAAATTAAATTATTCATTCATTTTAATAATTTAAAAATAAAATTATTATTTAATATTTTAGTATTACTCCAAAATATTTAAATTCGTATGGCTCAAGACGTAGAAATGATGATATTATGGCGAGAGAGACGTTTGCTAATATACGGTTAGTTATTAAGTTAGTTAAGACCACTGAATCTAAAATGTCCAAGTGGTCAAGAGGTTATTTTAACTAACTAAATATACTTATTGATTAGATTTTTGAATTATTAACATTGAGTTATATCAATTGGATGTCAATGTAGCTCAAGTTTAATTACTATTGCTGGTAGAGATTATGGATCAGGTTTCTTAAGATATTGGCAGCTAAGGAGCCATTTTCGTTGGTGATTATTAATTTTATTTAAATATTATACAAGTGTTTATTTTCAATTTAACTGTTGAGAATTATATTATATTTTTATTTTTTATAAGGTATTAAACTTGTGATTGCTGAATTGTGTGAACGTATACATTGCTCAAAATTGGTTGGCATGGGAAAAAATCCATTGCAATTTAAGTCTTGAGAAAATACTAGTACATTAAAACTTACTGGCCATGAAATTTACAACATATATATTTCACAAGACTGTAAACCATTGTAAGAACTCAAAGTGACTGTGAATAATATTTGTTTTTAATTTTTAATTTTTAATTTATATTCTTCTTAATTTCTTCATTATTATTTTTCAGACCAATACCGGTATTTCATTCTACACTATTGTACGTTTTGGCACAGAAATTAATATTTTTTACTATAAATACGGAGGAATTTCAAACTAAATGATTAGAAAAATGTTGGATTAAATTGACCAAGTGTATAAATATTATGTTAACCGTGATTGTTTATTTAAATCTAAAATTATTATAATAAATAGGTACAGGTATTGAATTAAAAATTCAATACTTGGTTTAAATAACCAAGTTTTTCATTATCAAACTATAAAGATAAATTTTCATATTTGTATGAATAAAACAAATATTTTAATTATTTTACCATTTCAGAATGAATAATTAAGTAATGTTTTGGTTTTATGTACAGAAATCGTCAGCCAAATGTATTTATACCAATAATAGGATAAAAAATTAGTTTGTGCCAGTTACGCTTTTGTCCCTTTAACTTTTAAGAATGAATACAATTTATAATTGCATCAAAAATGTTTGTAAATAGCAATTGAATATAAACACACTTAGATAACATTTTTAAATTCATAATTGGCAAACATTAATACGTATCGCGGTTTTTTGCATCCCTCGTATAATTAGATAAAATCAATTTACGACGTTTTGTTACGTAGCCGATAAATTATCTGCCTATAGTATACATATATTCTAATTACTCCATGTGTGCTTGTGTGTGTGTGTGTGTGTGTTTTTGTCCTTTAATCACCCGATTAGTAGAAATCTCACCTCAGCGTACCTTAAAAAAATTACGAAATTTACGTCCGATGATATTAATATTTTTCTAGATATATTTGTTTAAATTTCTGACAGATTTCCGGAAAAATTAAAAAAACAGTAACTGAAAATACAGCGGTTTTGAAAGAAAAAAAAAACACTCTATTATAACTCGTGATACTTACGCATTGATCTGATATTTTGTACATTTATATCTTTTAAGCTAATGTGATTATCGCAACCGTCATAAACGTCCGCAAATGTACTATCAAATCTCTTTTAGTACCATCGAATGGAAATCTGATATCTGTCGTATCTGAGTATTCGCCTCCGTATGCGTTTGCACACACGATAATGACGGTCCGTGTGTTGACATTTTTTTTTTTATTATTATTTTATTAATTTTTTAAACATATTTATGTTGAAACAATGGTAATTATAGCAATTAAAAACAAAATTAAATATAAATTTTTAATTAGTATACAAACGTGAATAGAAGTAAAAATAAACAATAAACAATGTACAGGATAATAGGTGTTTACGACGAATCCAATTCGGATTCGGATGATTCATTTGAAACTTGACAACCAACAAAATGTTGGGTTTGTTTTCTTTTCATCATTTCGTTCTAGAATTTAAAAATCAATTGACTTCATTAAATACATAACGATTTCGTGAATCTGTTATTTTTCACTGAAATTTAATTCGTTTACGGGACTTACTGACCTAACAATGTTTTACCAGATGAACTGAATAAAATAATGATTTGTTTTCTCCGAATCCAAGCTGCTCGTTGATGTTCGCCACGTTCGTCCTATTTTTGAAAGAACAAACAAAAAAATTTTAAACTACAGAAATTGTATTATTACATTATATTATTATATTATAATTTGAAGGTATGCAATTTCACACTGATTGAAATATTGCAACAAAAAAATTGAAAAACACACATTTTTTTTCAAGTTTGTTTAATGGTTCTAATTATGTCTTAAAAAATAATAGAATCGATAGACTGATATTTTAGAACTGGATTCACTTTAAATTTTAAATATTATAGTCTTTATTTAAAATTGGCTCTTATATAAAAATATCTACAATGTAAACAATTCAAATTGATTTGACTATTTGTTAAATGTAGACATGTTTACAATTAGCCCTCAGCGATTTTTAAGAAGTTACGAGCAGTGTCGTCACTACTTTAGTGGATGTCTACAGTAGTAGTTTTTTTTCGAGTTTTAAATTTTTAAACGAACTGTATGCTTTTTTCTTTTCGTAAAATCGTAATTTTTAAGTTTAAGAACCTGAATATATAGGTGTGTGTAAATAAGTTGCTGAAACGAATTTCGATCGAGGTTGAAAACGTTTTAATGATTTCGTGAAATATATAATCCAATAACGTTATAGAACAATATCATAATATTATATTGAACGAATTCCGAAAACGGCGATTGATGACGTCCATATTTACGTACAAAATGTCCGCGTCGTTAATGCGCGTCTGTACACGTCAGAGAGTAATATAAAATATATCTAATATGCACATTTTCCAAACGCGAAATAATAATATATTACCACGTCACGTGTTGTGTTAAGTTATATTTATGCGCGAAATATCTGACGGTCTAGCTTTATAGAATTTACGATAGAAATCATTCACCGTCGTGTATATTATCATGCATGTACAGCATATTATATGGCTAATGCAACTCCGAAACGAGTTTCAAAGTAAGTTAAAATCGCGTATGCGAAAAACTGTCCGGACTGCAAAGAATACAGTATAATATACGGCTCGTACGAACAAGGATAATAATTTGCGAAGACAATATACACTATAATATATTGTATATATACCAGCTCGACACAATATACCGAAAATCCAAATCTATACCGTACTGACATGCACTGTATACCCAATGATTTATACGTGACATTTTTGTGCTCCCCCCCCCCATCCCGGTGTATCTATTTGGTCACTGCGAAACGCTATTATATTCACGTACGAATGTATTCGGGTACTGTAGAAGTGTAATAGTGTCAAACGCAGCGTATAACGGCAGAGGGGGAGAGAAAAAAAAAAAACAATACCATTGATCACGGATTTTATCCAATTTTGTAGTGAGTGTGGTTAGGTTAGGTTATACCGACAATTGTTTTTTTTTTTTTTTTTTTTTTTTATCGTCACAAACAAAGAAGTACAATATTATCCTACAGTAGATTCGATAAGTAATAAAATTTAAATTTATAAAATACAAAATAGCATATTGTTATAATTGTAAAAATTATGGCAAACTGCAACGAATGAATTATACATTAAAATAACTCGTTCGTATCAATAATAAATTGTTCACGAAAACAAAAAGGGTATTTTTTTTTTTTTTTAACGATTCAGCAAATATTTACGATAAAATGAATGAAATCAATTTTATATAATATATATTTTTGTTTGCAGTTATTATAAAATATTGTAACGCATTTGTTTATAACATTATCGGAATTTTATCTACATTACGTTTACCAGAAATACATATTAATTTTCGATTTGCAAATAACAATTCCCGTTTTAGTAATACCGAAAAGAGAATTTTTCTACGTGATAATTGTTGGTAAAATTAATAACAGTGGATAGCATACTATTTTATGAATCATCACAGTTTAAAATGTGACGATTAAGGAATGGTTCTCGTCTAAAAATATATAAACAATTTATTACACTTCTCTATTATTTTTAAATTTATTATTATTATTATTTAGAATATTTAAGATGTTCTATGTTTTAAACTATTAAACCCATCCGATGCCTCTCCGATAAAAGTGTTCCACGTTTTGGTTTTGAAACCAGGATGCTGCTACGGAAATGTAAGATTGGAAATGTAGAAAATTATGTATTTTATAAAAAAAAAAAAAGAAAAAGATTGATTCTGTGATATTACAATAGTTGGTATTATACTGGCGATTTTATACCAAATGATAAAGTTATTACTTGTTTAGAAACTGCAGTGTTTCGTAATCTCTTGAAATCATGAATATTAATTACATCAAGCACTAAAGACTCAAATTAAGTACTGGTAATGTTATAACGAATATTTAATAAGCGTATAATAATTCAATATATTATATCTAATTAAAATATAAATTGTGTTTATAACTGAATAAATTCAGTTATTAACAAATACTAATATATCATTATCGACTTTTCGTGAAAATTGTACTACCATTTTAAAATCAAAAATTAATTATCATTTAATGCGCAAGGAGTACCGGTAAACATTCGAAAACAGTATTAACAAATGAACTAAATAAAGCTACTATAATAACGTCGGAAAAAACACGAAATCAGCAAAAGTTACTTAAGATCCTATAAGAAAAATACCGATTGGTCATGTTAAGAAAAAAAGATCCTTAATCCCTGTAAATTATTTAGTTGATAAGTATCTATAGTATCTACTAGCGTACATTAATATGCAATTTAACCACGAAAAACGAAATTTTAGTAGATATATTTTCGGAAATTGATGAGTTCTATTTGCTACCTATATTATAATAACATAATGTACGAACGGAAACATATGTTAAAATCCAATTCGTATAACCCGTTCAGTTATTCATAGTTTATGCGTAAATTTATGTTCAGATCGTCATACCTGTTCCAGTTTGTACTTTCGATTTGTATTACTATGTATACAGTGTTTTGCTTCCGTAGATTTGCAATAATTCAACGAAATATCTAAACCTGCACCGGTACAATATAATAACATTATCATAGATTATAGAATGTGTAATAATATTGTATTAACAACGGGGAGGGGAGTTACGACTTCAATAACAACAATAATAATAATAATAATTATACTATGTACCTAATAAAATACCGAATGTTGGTCATTCAAAGACAATAACGATATTATAAACGTTAATACGTTTATGGGATATTGTATTATTACCGTCACTAAGTTAACTATTATTGTAAATTGATAAATACCTAATTGCGTTGTTTTGACATGACAAAACAGTTTGTTTTAAACAGTGTAATAATAATATTATCGTGCTATACAGTTGGAATATGATTTGCAATAAAACAGATTGTAGTTTTAATCGGATATATTTTTTTATTATTTTTCACTTTAAAAAAATGTTACATTCACTAGCGGAAGCTGTAAAGTCACGTACAAAAAATAATAAAAAAAAAAAAAAATTGAATTTAGTTTCGCTCTATTATCATTGATTTTTTTTTTGTTTTCAATTATAGAAAATATACGCAACTAAAACGCGTCTGGCCACTGAAAAAATATACGATAATAATACTATCGACCAGGAAATCACGAACCATCTGCAGTTTTGTGAAAAAATTGTATTGATTCGCTATAAAAAAAATAATATATACATAATGATGTATAAATTATATTTTTTAAAGCTAACCTACTTTCATTTTATTTCCCCGAAATAACGTAGTCTAACGATTAAGAGTACCTCTTTAATTTTTTTATTTGGGACGATAATATTACGGATAAATTTAATGTAACAATATTAACATAATTGCGTTAGTCAAATACCTACATGCATTTTCGCATAGGTAACTGTAGGAATTTTAATAAAACGTTTTAATAGAATATTAGTTTTTGGTGAACACTTTTTATGAGACAGGTAATAATATCCATTCTATTAAACTAAAAAACCAATAGCTCCCTCGCTACGCTTACATTCTGAAATAATATTTTCTTAGGACTTTCTGATCGATTTTATAAACGTATATCGGTATGACAAATGAGGAATCATATTATATATATGTATATATATATATATATATATATATATATATATATATATATAAAGAGAGAGAGAGAGAAAGAGAGACACCTAAGAAACTGCTGCTTTGGCGACCGAAGTCTAAATTTTTATATTTTTTTTTTCGCCGGTGATTGATTATGTGACATTACCGTGACCGTGATGAAAGCAGCGGCATAATTTTATTTACACTTTTGGACGGAAAAAATATTTATTTAAAATTAAATTAAAAGAAAAAAACTCAATACGAAGTGTATTTAATTTCTCTCGGGCAACATATTATATTTACTATTATTATTATTATGTTTTTAATCAGAGCGAAGCGAGGAATGTTCCCCGATTGGTTTTCTATAAAGTGTAAAATATTTTTTGTTTTAGTTATGTACTATACAGGCATAGATATAGTGAATCCGGAGTTATCTAAATAGATATCTGTTTTAGAATTTTATAACAAAAATACACCATTAACGATACACTATATCACTGTAATGTTTGAAATTCAATTTTTTTTTTCGTATTTAAAAATAATTTGTTTGACGCGCAAAAGCTCAAACAATTTTTATTTTAATTATCAAAAATATTAGTCCCCTAAAATTCTATTAATAGATTGTAGATTATAAATCAATAGAAAAGTATGATCTTTCCTACGTGTAAAAAATCACTAACGCTTGCCGTGGTTTAATCATTTATATAATAATAATAAGTATATTATAATCCAATAAGATGCACCTTTTGTTTATTGTTTTTATTATATTATGGAACTGTTTACCTAGTAAAGTTGTCCAAAACTTCATCATAATATTGAAAATGAACAGCTTTTAACTGAATTTCAATTATAAAACTTAATAATCCACAGTTACTATACAGACTATTGTCATACATGATATTTAATTTAAAAAATTAAAGAATTTTCAATTTTAATAATTTCATGAAATGTCTGTTGGTAACGTACAAAATGTTTCAAATTCAGTTGGCTATTTAGATAATACGGAAACATATAATTCCTCGTCACTCTATCTTCTCTCACTATAATGGGATAATGGGAGG